TAGTTAATACATAAAAAAAATATACAGTCACTAAAAATCATGAAATAATTTATTTTTGTAAAAAAATACAACCGACTTCAACCGCTCTAAAAAGAATGAAATAATTTCAATAAAGTAAACTTTTGTATTAGGCAAGCTCACGTATTTCAAGTCGGCGCGGCTCAAGTTGCAAACATGATTGAAATTAAATATTGTGTGTGTATTTTGAAAATCAATAAATTGTAGCTGGATAGCATAAATAATATAAAAAAAAACATACTGAACTGTTTTGTTTATATATTAAAGGAAATATTTTCTTGTATTTTATGTTTACTTCAGAATAAATGCATTATGAAAATAACACACACAAATGTTCTATATGAATAAGAAAATAATTTAGTTTGATATTATGATAGGGAAAAGAAGCTAGTTTAGTATTAAAACGTTACTTTTCCAAGTTAGAAACATTTAAATGCGTTATAATCTTTTTAAAGATACTCGTTAATACTATAATGCCGATCTCTGATTACGGTAATAAAATAACCCTTAACGCATAACTATGAAAAAGACATACAGATTAACACCTTAAGTTATAGATAGTCACCTGCAATATGGACACCCTCTTTCAATTTTGTATCAAAAATCATCATAGAGCCGCGCCGATTTAAAATACGTGAGCTTGCCTAATACAAAAGTTTACTTTATTGAAATTATTTCATTCTTTTTAGAGCGGTTGAAGTCGGTTGTATTTTTTTACAAAAATAAATTATATATCTTTTTAGAGGGTGTAAGTGCACCCCCTGTGGGATCCCATGAGGATCGTTGGATTTCGACTTTTTATGAATAACATTTTTATGATTTCCTCCATCTGTGATCGAGGTAATTGGTACTTAGGAAGATGTATTGCAAGCATGCATAGTTTTCCTTTGAAATACTTGTTGAATTAAGTCTAAAATGTTTAAAAGGGCTTCTTGTAGCCTACCATTGTTACATTTTAAATAAAAGTTTCATGTTGGTTTGAATCAAGTTTGTTAGGAAGAAGTAGAAGTTTGTGACGGTTAATGTTAGGATAGATAGTTCATGTTTTAGTTGGAAAATGCTTGATTGAGAAATGCTAATTTTGGACACACCTATGATAAAACTGCCCAATTTTGTTTTACAATGCTGCATGGTATTCTTAGTGGTGTGTCAAGATTGTATAAGCAGTGAATAAACCGCTATAACGTCAAATTGCTCTATTGTCATTGGCAGTGTCATGGTGTGGGTACTTTTTCATGCTTTGAAAAATGGCTTGATTCCATACAATGAGAAAGTGTTGTAGAATATTAAATAAACTCCCTCGTTGACCTTCATAGACTGACTCCATAGTATATTATATTACATCAATAAGGTGATGAGCTATATTTTTGTCAGACTGCATCATTAATTAACTAAGCTAGAAAATGAAAATACTTGTCATGTTAATATAACCTCTCAAAACTACTTCCAGCTTGTTTTCAGTTCTGCTAATGTAAATAAGCAGCTGTTTAGTAAGCGATTCAATCATTTCGTCTATTTCTATTGTTTTACAACAATAAGCTAAAAACCTTACCTAAATAAGTCGATAAATAATTTTGATCCATGGGATTGCTATAATCGAAATTTACAACTGGTTACAAAAGCTGACTTTTACTGCCTAGGAAATAAAAATGCTTTTACTCCCTTGGGACTAAAAGGCTTTTTACTCCATGGAGTGAAAATGCTACTTTAGAACCGCAATTCATGTAATAAACTTTTATTTTTTGCTGCAGTATGGCTATGTTTTTTGGCTGATAATGGTATTTTTGACAGGTATCATTTGATTGCGTCGATGTCTTATCATAGGTTATATTTCTATTTTCAAAATAACTACAATCAAATAGAACAATTATGTTCTAAAATACACCTTGCATTTCGGTATTTAAAAAAATAATACCAGTGCAGTGCAAAATTTGACCTTAAATGATAGGGAATGATTTAATCGATTTTAGCACACTCAATCGCCATAGTACATGAACTACCCAAATCTGTTTTCAAAATTCATAAAAGGACGAAAAGTGTTTTAACCGTACCCAAATGCAATGTTCATACTGTACAACAGTCCTTTTAGCATATCTAATGGGCAATCTAAGCTGCAATCGATGGAAGCTAGACCGTATCATTGAATGTTACTCAATTTGCTCGGGCGGTGTATCCCTTGTCAAACCCGTTTCCGTTCGTTTCCATCATTCCCTCGACTGCCTGGGCAATCAATGATTCAGGGCTTCGCCCCAATTGGTATTGTGGGGGAGGGAGGGGGGGGAGGGCGCCGGCGTCAAGTTTTTGTGACTCACCTTGACGGGTCCTAGCCAGAAAGATTTATGTTGTTTTCTGCGCATCGTTTGAATCTGACGAGGGTTTCATTTTAACTATCTTCCACCTTTCGGTTAAATTTGACATTTCTGGTCAAAGTAATGGATTGATGTATTAGCTGTTTTATATGAATGGTGAGTAGACAATAGACAATAGACAATTCATCTTTATTTACACATTCATTAAGAATAGCAGTAGCGTCAATTTAAAATTTTTTCTAAATATGTAGTTGAGGTGTTGTTTAGTCAAAGATCCGTCGATAGTATTCTTTTAAAGAGTAAAAAAGTCGATTAATGAGCCATTGATGCAAAGTTGGTTTGAGGTCATCTTCTGTTTTGCTTCTTAAATCTGTAGGTAGCCTTAATTAGCCTTCTTAATATCTGGAAGTAGATCTGGGTTTTAAGTTTTTCCTATATTGTCTTATAAATGACTTATAATGATGTTTAGGGGTCCTTCACTACGTCAATATTATGAAATGAGGACTAACCGTATTTTATTTAAGAAATTAAAAAGATGAGGGTTGATGAAATTCAGGTAAAATCAGCCAGGATAATTTATTTAAAGTTCAATTACCGAAGATAGCTGAAGCTAGTTCAAGTTTGAAATCATCAAACTCATCAGACTTACCGGGATTTGAACCCGGGACCTATTGGACCGAAGTACCGCGCTCTAACCACTAGAACAGCTCGTTCCGCCCACTTTAGCAAGTAAAATAAGTTGAGACGAATGGAACTTAAGTAATAGATAGTAATTTAATTGTTTAATTGATTTTAATTGGTATTTATTTATAACTAAGTCGGCAGTTTAATTTTATAAAAGGCAGTCTAGTTCTATAAAAGACTTCACGAGACTAAGTAGGGCCTGCTTATTATAGTAATGTTGTAGTATGTTAAAATATAATAAACGATGAGTCCCGTAACAAAAGAAATGAAGACAAAATCCGAAATCATATAGGTATTATATTAGCAAAATGTTTGTACGCAATTAATTATTGATTTTTATTGTTATGTTTAAAATTGCATGTGTCTCGTGGTTTATAATAATTACTTTGTTAAAAAGGGTACAAATATCACAAGATTTTAAATTTGTTAATATCAGAGTTTTTAAAAACATAATGATGTATTTTTCTAATCTATACTATTATAAAAAAGAGGTGGTTGCTGTATGTGTGTATGGGAAAAGTAAACTCGAAAAATACTGGTCGGATTGGGCTGAAATTTGGCATGATGATAGCTCACATTCCCGATTAACATATAGGCATATTCTTATTTCAAAAATCCTTTCGGGCTCCGCCCCAGTGGCTCTGGAGTTTCCCATGTTAACCTTATGAGAAATGGAATTATTGAATCTTAACAGCTGTTTCAATTAAACAAGTTGGTTCTGTTCTATGATGTTCAATAGCATTAAAGTTACAAGGATTACCAACAGGGTGCAGCACTATTATTTCTTTTACATTTATGACAACAGCTAATTTGCAACCAAAAGGTGAGTGAGCGTAGCGAACGAACTTCAACCTGGAGGCGAGTTAGCGTAGCGAACGAGCTAACCTGAAGGCAAGTGAGCGCAGCGAACGAGCTCCAACCTAAAGGTGAGTGAGCGTAGCGAACGAGCTCCAACCTAAAGGTGAGTGAGCGCAGCGAACAAACTTCAACCAGGACGTGATTGAGCCATGCGAACGAGATAATCTTGAAAATTAAGAAGTTAAACGGAGCAAAGCCCGCGGGTTACAGCTAGTTTTACTATATAAAATTGGAATTTTCCAACGTGTCCATCTATAAACATAATGGGTTTGCTACAATTTTTGTTTTGTTTCATAACGTAAACATTTAAACGACACTGTGCAGAAAGAATGTTCGTCTAACAGATGATTAGTATTGTTGGATGACGTTTTTAGAAGATCATTTTTTATTTACAAATTAGACAGGCCAGGTTGAAATAGCCAAATATATTCTCAAGAATTCAGTAATACAGGTAGGATTTACATATGCACCTACTTAACTATTAAAAAAGTGTCCATCATCACACACAATTGGGATTTGAAGTTCGTTATCTTATTTACAAAAATATGCCAGGTTGAACAAACCAAATACATTCTCAAAATGTAATAAACAGGCAAAAGAGTTATTTCTTCATCTAGTATCGTTTTATTATCGAAGGTATCGTGGATTACCTCCTTGGTGTCGGGGACATTAGTACAGACTTAAATAACACACTTAAATGGGAAAACTTACTTTAGCTTTCTGAAATAAGTTTTGAAAGCTATTAAACGTAAATATAATCAGAAAAACTATGCCATGTACCGGAAAGAATAAACTTAAAAATTCCATAACTTCATTGGTGATCTGTATATTAAGTTTCTAAGGAACGCGATCTTTAACAACAAACTTTAAGCCTCACACCTATCAACGGCATACTTGAATAAAAATCCTGATTTAAAATTTACCGAGAAATATTACTTTTTCGACACAACCTCTCCTAATTAATTTAGCACGGATCTTAATTAAAGTTAAAATTGTAAAAAAATAAAATATAGAATATTCATCAGCAGTTGCTTTTGTTTTTATTTATACAGTAATTTTTGTTTACTTCCTCCTGAGTTGGTTAAACTTTTGATTCATATCGTGGATTTATATGATGGCCAAGGTATTTACCGTGTATTTTGAGGCTTCGGAAAGGATGTTTGTCGCAGAACATCTCACATGACACACACACGCACACTCACAGGCACCGTCGCTAACTAGTCCCTACTGACTAGTGACTACTGACTGACTGACTGACTGAGCAGTCGCGTCTATTGCGTTAGCACCCCCCCCCACCCCCCCCCCCCCACCGTAGAACAGCTGATTGCTTCACGCTTACTGAGATGTTTTCATCGTTTGTTTACTAATACTATAGGTACTCCAAGTAGACTTCTCGTCTTATTGTAAAATTTGAAGCGCAGATTAGGTTTTTTACGCCAAGTGGTTCGTGTTCATTCACCAATATTAATCTATTTCCACCCCATAGGTAAAATGTTGCCAAATAAATGGATATGCATGAAAATGTATAAATGTACAAAATGTATAAGACTCACTAGTTCTCAGGGAGTATAGATATGCAAATAAGCACATCTTGTGAATTGTACACAACAAAAGATAAATATTTATACAATTATGCGATAAGTTGTATTTTTTGGGATATTTTCCCTAGTAGGGAATATTTTACTTGACGTTTCTCACAATTCGGGATAATTCCCTCGTAATTTCATCCGTTTGTGTGGTAAGTTGTATTTCATGGGATATTTCCCCCAGTAGGGAATATTTTAACTGACGTTTCTCATAATCCGGGGTTGATTCCCACGTCTTTTCATTCGTTGGCATGTTAAGTTGTATTTCATAGGATATTTTCCCCCAGTAGGGAATATTTTACCTGACGTTTCTCACAATTAGGGATGATTACCTCGTCTTTTCATCCGTTGGTGTGTTAAATTTGTATTCATTGGTAAAGTTGCACTGTACTAGCGAACCTGCGTAGACATAAGAAAAGCAGGATTTGCATTGATCTTTTTTATTTTGCGTTTTCTGGTTTCTTGGCTTTGTTGTAACGGGCCTGATTGAGTTCACAGTTTTTGCAGTTTGCTTTGTGAACGTCAGTAAAAGATTCTCTTTTGATTAATCGATGATAACCTAAATGATAAACCAAAGCCCCTCGTTCCCACCACCACCTCTAGCTTAAGTCTGGGACTTATTTGCCAGGTCGATTTCCCGTGATAAATCTTCTTCCCTTAAGCTTCAGCCACTTTCAATCCTCGTCCAAAAACACTTTAGTTTCCAAAATCCTAACAGCATTGCTCTCTTCTTCCTACCACCCTGAGCGATGGGATCATTGGTATTCGCTCTAACCTTCCCTCTTTCTTTCATGGGGAAGCTTTCATTCCTTTTCATTATTTGTTTTTGTTTGTTTCTTTTTTCAATTTAAAAACCTGTATGTATCTTTGGTTTTTCCCTATTTCCCTAGCTTTTAAGCGCTCTTTTAAGTTTCCCTAGCTCCTAAATGTCTCAATTGTTTCATTGTCTCTCATCAAGTTTTATTATATTTTCATCTCTAGACCTTTCCTATCCAAGACTTCTCCCTGTTCTCTCCTATTTGCTTACTGAAGTGGACAATCCATCAATACTTGACTCGTGGGTCTCTATTTTTTTGCACAACTGCATACGTCTTCTTTCACCAAGCACCGAGTTAAATCTCCACAAATTCACCTTGAAATTGTTCATGTCCTGTGACAAACTGGTCAACGATGGCCTATCCCCCAACCTTGTTCCAGTCTCCTTCTGATGTTTGGCATTTATCCTAACGTTTCCCTTTCTTTCTCATCTGATCCCACCGCATTTGCCACTCATCTAATGTCTCCTCTTTTCTGGAACTCTTGCTTTTGTCGTGATCCTGCCCGCAGCCTTGTCTCCCAAAATCCTGATCATTTTATTCAATGAGCAAGTTGAGTGGTTTATGGCTCCATGTCAAAACCCAAATCGTATCATGCGATACTGTGCTGTATGATTTTCCTACGTTCTACAAAACTCTTCTTTGCATAATCAAAAGGTTTTTTTTTCAATTTTATCTTCCAGGTATTCTTAAGAACCCGCATCCGTAAAGCATTGCTGGCTCAACACCCCTTGTAGAGCGTCATCAAATGCTTCCCAGTTATGCCTCTATTGGCTCTGGCCTGTCATGCTAATTTCGCGAAGACTCCTTTTAATTATAACACACATTTTTCCCTAAGAATAACATTGGAACTTTGAAGGCCACTGGGGCAGAGCCCTGATGGAATCCATTGACGTATCCAATGATACCTTAACCTTGGTCATCGGATGCATAGCAGCTTCAAAACAATTATCACAAAATTCTTGTTGGCCTATTAAATATATATAGATTTCATGGGATATTTCCCCCCAATAGGGAATATTTTACCTGACGTTTCTCACAATCCGGGATGATTCCCAAGTCATTCTATCCGTGGGTGTGTTAAATTTGTATTCATTGGTTAAGTTGTATTATATGGGATATTTTTCCCCAGTACAGGGAATATTTCACTTGACGTTTCTCAGATGATCCGGGATAATTCCCTCGTCATATCATCCGTTTGTGTGTTAAGTTGTATTTCATGGGGTGTTTCTCACATTAGTTTTAACATAATCTCTAGATAGGAGTATTTTACATCCACAATCCCCCGTTACGCCTGACGGCCCGGGAAGGAGTCTGCTATAAGCCCGTCATTATAATCTCGCTGTTTATTTGTTCGGCCATCGTACGGTCAAATCCAAGGTCGAAATCGGTCGCAGGTGGATCGCCACAAGACGAGTCACGTTTCCTTGATTGAAACTTAGGATAATTTATTTTTGCCAAACTTCTATAATTTATTCGTTAATTTTCTACATTTTAAAGACTATACAGGCTGTTTCCAAATTGTCTGGACATATTTTTGACTTGTTCCTTGGGCTAAGACAAACATAAAATGCAATATAAGTATGGGTCTAAAATTCCTATATTTCTGTTTGTCGGCCTGTTTGTGATTTTACTTTATATCTTGGGCATTTTTCAAGATATAAATTTCAAAATTGGTATAAATGTGTATATTAGTAAAAAGCGCTTACAAAGTTTCGTTCCAATATCTCAAGCCGTTTCAATATGGCGGTAATTTAAAATCTTTGAAAATCGTAAATATTAAGAAAATTTTTCAACCGATCAAAAAGATAGAGAATTTAAGCCCAAATCAAATGAGACCTTGTTTGTTAAAATCGGATGACAAACAACCGAGTTTTGAAATTTCTATCTCAAAAAATGTTCAAGATATAAAATAATTCTTAAAAATCACAAACACACCGACAAACAGAAATCTAGGCATTTTAGACCATACTTATTTATATGGCATTTTATATTTGTATAAGTCCAAGGAACAAGTCCAGAAAATATGTCCAGACAATTTGGAAACTCTGTAAAAGCCTCTTATTATTTCGGATTGAATCCAACGTTTTAAACACAAGAAACGTTGGAAAAGAACCAACGTCATAATGAATAAAAAAAAACTCTGAATATATAATAAAAATGAAAACGTGTTAAAGAATAATCACAATTCACATAACAATATTCAAAAATCTCTCATCTTACGAAGCTAATTATTAAGCGGAAAGTTAATGGCTGTAAGGACATTTGCATGTAGGCCTACTTATAACCAGTTTCATACGGACTTCAAGAGCGTCGGAAACTATAATGGAGCTATAGCATTGGCTACTTCGTATAAACAGTTTTTCGGTAAAACCTTTGACTATTGATGCAACTAGATATTCCAGTCCCACGTTAAAGTTGTCACCAGCTTTAAATCAAAATTGTCGTAGTTGATGTGAGCCACCGACAGATTGTGCTGATGTAAATTACTGATTTCTGTCGAAAGAACTAACTTTTCACCACTCGCAAAATTTCACAATTTCTTTCCACATTATTTTGTAGAGCTTAAAAAAATAGTTTTGTATATTGAAGCGTTGTTGTATACCCAACGGTATGGGATATAACTCAAAAATTTTAAATTATAAATTCCAATGTTATTCTTTTGATGAATAAATAAATTGTTGTAGTTTGCTTGTTTATTGATTTATTTTAATCAAATTTGGCAATTTTATTTATTTCATACTAAGCTATCAAAATTTCAATTAAAAGACACACCTCGATACCTTCTATGTAGCAGCAAACCTAATTTAAAGGACATTTTTTGTATAAATCCAGCCAGGCAAATGGAAATTAGATTAGTCTGCAGGTTTTCTGCAGCGGGGTATTTTATACCGAGTCAAATTTATATAACTACTTAATCTGAGCTCTAACAACTCTTTGCCAACAATTATGTTAGCAACAACAAATAATGTAGAAAATATAATTTTAGGCACTGTCACATTCTGTGTCTGGCTCACACAGCTACGTATTTTTTAATTGGCAACAGCTGGTCCATATCGATGGAATACTTCACTATCCAATAGTCAATGGTATAACACTGTTGTAGGAAACAACAATAAAACATTCCCACCACATGTGAACAGCTGACCGGGGGAAGGGCGTAGCCCACGTAGGGACCTGAGGCCGTGATACCGGGTCAGAGGTTAAGGTCTGGGCACCTTTGACGGCTGTTCTTTGTCTTAGTTCAATGTTGAAGTCTAAACCTTCTATTGAGCATTAGCGTCGTTGAGTTCTCAAATACCTCTTGTTCTTTGTTTGTTGATTGCTGATCCAGGTGTAGTAGCAAGGATAAAAAGCAGGAGATTGAGATGGGCTGGATATGTGTAGAGGAGAGAGAACTTATCATTAATAAAAAACTGTGGACTAGATCAAACCAGAATGCAGAAGACCACTCGGCGGGCCAAGACTGCGATGGAGGAGTCAGGTGCTGAAGGATGTGGCTGTGTAGGGCACTACTCCTGAGGCAGCGGAGAATAGAGAAGAATGAAGAATCATCGTTGGGGAGGCCAAAAACCTTCTTAAGGTTTCAATGGCCAAGGAGGTAAGGTAAGGTAATGGATCATAAACATAAACAAATAACGTTGTTGGCCCAAATCCTATACTAATAGCATTAACGTATGTTTTGGCAGTTCCATTTAAGCAATGTTAATTTTTTTTAATAGTGTAGCATATGGTTGGAAAGCTTATAAAATGGCGCAGTTTTTAACATATTCTGACACTTTCTTGCATACAGGGTGTGAATAATGCAATAGACAATTGTTTTTTTTATTGTTATCAAACATCTTAATTT